TGGGTTTCGTAGTAGCGTGCGAAAGTATTCACACTTAGAGCACACCCTGACATCTTGAGCGCCATGGCGAACACACCCAGACACGTGAAAGCATTAGGTGTCAGGTGATGAATTTGTAGATTGGAGCACTGCAAGACTTCGCCCACAAAATCTTCACATGGAAACCACAATCTCGCCACAAAAAAATCACGAAAGACAATAGCCTCATAGGGCTCCAGGCACGGCACATCCTCTGGGTCCGGCGCTTGGCACAGACCGCGGAGTGTAGGCTTGAGAAGCCCTCGTTCAACATACTCATCAAGTTCCACCTCAGTGACGCGCGAACGCCCTATCCGATAGGTAGCCGGAGTTAAATCAAGTTGCCCCTTAACGGTGGTCGGCACTGGACCTAGGGTTTCGCCTTCTTCGCCCTCTTCCACAATCTCGACATCTGTATCCATTTCTTCACTGATATCAATACGCGAAGGGCCTGGGCAGCCTTCAACAGGGTGTTCTACCTCCAATTTACCACCTTGCGCAGTTGCGACTGAGCCATCACTCGCTCAGACACACTTCGCGACTGAGTGCGAGATCCTGAGCTAGAGCCGTCAGATGAACTCCCGCTGGACGAACTATCGCCAGACACTGACTCACTCGACATCTATCCAAGCGAGTCACATACGAAAACCAAAAAAGAAACCAAAAATAGTAAAAGAAGCGAAAAGATCTAAACATTAAAATAGTACGCGTAATCAATAAGCAAATAAACAGCGAATAGAAGAAATCAAAGAGCCAACCTGCTGAAGAGCTCGACGAAGAGTGGAGTCCAGGTGAGAGCAAGAAAGCCGCCAAGAAATTCGAGTGAAAGGTCGAAGAGCAAAGGCTTGACTCGCGAGCGCAGGCTGAAGGAAAGATAAGAGCGCATGGCTCCTCTGACACAGGGGGTTTTTATAGGCACCCGCCGAGCCGCGCTCACGCCTCGGGCACCCGCCGAGCCACGCGCACGCCTCGAGGAACCAACATGATGGTTCGCTTAACCGTTGCGATGGTTCGAATTCCAATAAATAGTAACCTAGGCTCGAAAACGGTCGCCGCCACCTTGTTAAAAAAATAAAATAATAATAATAATAATAATAATAATAATAATAATAAATAAATAACAATAATAAAAATATATAATCAGCTTGAGTATAACCATCGCCAAGGACCTCCACCCTTCGCCGGGGAAAGCATCCAAGCCCTGGGGCATTAAGCTCCGGTAAATATGCAAGGCATCCACACTAAAGTCGAAAACCCTTTCGCGTGATGCCGAGGGGCTAATGTTGGGGGCAGGGCCTGCCTTTGGGCACCCCAAGGGGCCCATCCGCCACCCCGGATGCACCTCGCTAGAGCAGGAAGCATCTCGCACAGGCGAGATGACGGACGACAAGGGAATGGACGGTTTTAGCCCGTCGGCGCATCAAGCATCTTGCTCTAGCGAAATGGCAAGTGTGAAAATGGCAAGGGCAAAGGAGCCCGAGTCGCGGAGCCGCATTCCCCATTTCGTTAGGGCAGAATAGCGGGTCTAGCGGTAAGGGCCCGCCAGGCTCAACCCTTTTCGCTATGGCGAGAGGAGCAACCCAATCTGGGTTTGGAACTGGCTCGAGCCATTCGCTTGGGCGAATAGTCGATTAACGATTTGTCCAGTTGCCTTTGTAGGTTTTGCTGATTGGAGCTGTCAACCGCCCTGAAGTGGCCGATAACGTCTGTCCGCCAGGGGCCCACTCGGTCGGCCGGGGAGGCGACAAGAGATGGGTCGGTGCTACCCGAGGCAGGCGGGGACTCCGAATGGCGAACAAGCCCATGACGCCGAGGAATATTCTCCAAATATAGGGTAGTTGCAGGGGCATTTTTGTCTCTCGAAAAGCCTACGGACGTGTATAAATAGCCCCTATCGAGGGAGTGTAAAGGAAGAGGAAAAAAGGTAATGAAAGGACTCTTTCTTGTTCGATACTTCTGTTTAGCCACTCCTCGTATTGATTTCGCTCATGGAGCAACCCAGTGTTCGAAGGCTCGGGCCTAGAACAACACCATACTATCTGCTATGGTTTCCTATAGGTTTAGTTGTATACGAGATGTTACTATGCATCTGTTTCTCTCTATGCTGCAAAGTATGCAATGCATCAATTTGGTTGCACCTCGGTCCGTCTCAGTTATGGCATATGGACTGAGTATGGGTGTCCTTGGGAAGTAAGAGGGTGTCTTAATTGGTTGATCTCATTCCATCCTGTATCACGCATAAAAGCATCATAAATTATTTTTTTGAGATTTCCTATCCAAGGCAGGAGTAAAAGTGTATTATCCTTTGATGCTGATCCAATAAAAGTATTATTAATCATATTTTTTTCTCTTGGTCATTGTTTCTCCAATCCTTTCAACAAGCTATGGATATTCAAGATGCAAAATATTTTTTTCACTTTACAGTTGTCCACCATATAATCATTTAGGGTGCGACTCTCTCTATAAAAGTATATTATCTTTCACCCTAAAACAATTCTGTCTTTCAATCATACTAGTGTTTTTACTTTTTTGGAATCCCATTATTTTTTTCAAAGCAAAAGTTATGTTTTCTTTCGATCATACTGATGTATCTACTTACAAATCTTATTTGTTATTGTAAGAATTTTTTTACTTTTGGATCTAATTAATTTGTTTAAAATAAATATGTTTTGTTTCAATCCTATTGATGCTTCTAAATTCCAATCTCATTAGTTTAAGACAAATATGTTTTAAGAATTATTTACATTTTTTGTATATTATTAATTCATAAAAATGTTGATTTATATTTTTTCTATATCATATGGTGTATATTAATCAAATGGTATTAAAATTGTATACACAAGAAAACATATTGAGACCGTTCTCCTTGTCTAGTCTCAACTTGTTTCAGTTTATTCTCTCACACGTAATACTATTGAATCAACCGAAATCAGCTGTCCACATCTTCCAAACTGGATCAGCCGAACACCCCCATTCTTTTTTTATTAAATTTCATAGGCACATTGCTTCCAACCAAATGAACCATCGCCTTACTTGCCTCCTGGGGCAAATTTTATGAAATTCTAGGCAATTCCTAGATAAAATTTTTTACCATGCAAGTTATATAGGTCTCCAACTAAATAAAAAATAGTGTATTTGAGGAATTAAAACAACGCCCTACTGCTCAGTCTTAGCACCTCTCTACTAATACACCACACTCTCATTTGTAACTATATATATAGGATGCTATCTTTTTATATCAACATTTCATAATCTTATATTAAATACTTTTGCTACTAAAAAGTTAAAACCATAGTTTTGAACCTTGTCAAGCACTATAACTTTGGTATATGATGTGTCTTCATCAGAGATCGTTTTAAAAATTCAAAATTTTGAATATCAAAATATGTGAATTTAAAACAAATATTTGAGGCACTAAAAAACTTATCAACAACAAACATGTAGATACTACAACTTTGGTTTGAACTATATGGACACTCAAGGTCGTTTACAAATTCTAGATTTTGAATTTCAAAATCTATAAACTTAAAACACATATTTGGGATTATAAGCGACTTCAAATAAAGAACTCTTCAACTACAAAGTTGTAGCTTGTATTGAGAACTCTTCGACATTGGTATTGAGAACTACAAAGTTGTAGAAACCTTACCTAAAATCAATAATTTGATTATTGTGTGAAGTGAAAGATTGTATTAAAATAGACATCTTAAAGATAATTACGTACTTTGCGAACTGAGCATAGCTTAATTGCTTAGGTTTTTTATGGTGGAACCTTCCCACTAGCTCCTTAACTTGACAAAGGTGTTCATATTTTTCTGAATTTATTTCTGAATTTAAAGGCACTGGTGGAAGGGACGTGTCACAAGGTGCATGTGATGATTTCATCAATATTAAGACTTGTTCGCTCAATTTTCAATAACGAGGCTCCTGTGATGATTTCATCATTGTTATGATTTGTTCGTTCATTTTTTTTGAAGGTGCTCGTAGGGGTAGAGTGTGAATCTATAAAATGACCCGGTCGTTCAAGGTATCATAGGTCTAGAATGCGTATACATGCATGTACTGTAATTTGAAAATCGTATTACATGTAACTTATACTCGCAAAAGAAAACATATCATTAAAAAGAAAAGAGTAACTGTAAATCTCATGAACATATGCACAAATTTAACTTCCCACGTTTAGAGTATGCTTAATTGGCACCTTAACAATAACATGCCTAACCTTTAGTCATAGGAAGATAATATGGTTGCTTGGCGGTTACCACAACATCACTTTTGTGACAAGACGCACTTTGTCTAGCTGTCTAAACTAACTGTATCAAAGTTGGTGAGCAATCTCTTCTTATCAAAGCGGGAGAGTTTGGCCGCCTCTCAGGGTGGCCACGTCGCCCCGAATTCCCTTGCCCGTCAGATCTTCCATCGGATGGCCACCGTTGCTTGAAACGGATTTTGCCGGAAGCGGATTATTGGCCTGCTTCTTCTCTTTTCCATGTTTTTCTTTGCTGTTGTCCGGCTTCTACTCCGGAGTCTAATATGAATAGCAAAGTTCATGAGCTAATGTGAATAGCAAAGCTAAGTAGCACTGTAGCAGTGATATGACACACTTTGTCTAAGCTAACTGTATCAAGGTTGGTGAACAACCTAATATGGACAGCAAAGTTAAGTAGCAGTTGATGTTTGAAAAAAAAGGATGGATAAAATTGACAAAAGAACAAAACTTTTTTTAGCATCACAAAAGAACAAAACCTGAGGAGAAGCATGTCACAAATCTCATGCAATATACAGATCCAAATAATCCATGCAGGTACAAATTTCATCAAAAGAGAAAAGTGGGTCTGTAAGGACATGTTTGCAATTACCCCCATAACAAAACTGTCCACACCAATCCTAGGGGCAGCGAGCGGCAACACCGCAGCAGTTTTCTCGGAAGGCAGCCCTCTTCGTCGTCGCCGGCGACCGCACCCGCTGCGCGGCTGTCGGGGATGCCGGTCAGGGTGGTCGACACCGCCACGCCTTCCTCGCAGCCCTCCCCAGGTTCCCCTACCCTCCTCGCACCCCACCGTCTCCAATAAATACGCTATGCGCCAATAAGGTGCGCTTTGTACAATCAGGTCTAGATCTTATCGGATTATAACTCTTTGTTGCCTAGGCGTGATGCGATTTCGTTGAATTTCAGCTGGAAGCTTTTTTCTGATCTAGATTGGTGTAAGTTTAGCTGGAGTTTGTGTGGCTGCAGTTTGATACTGATTCAGGCGGTTTGATCCTTTCTATCGGCTAAATTACTGCTTCCGGAACTTGAGCGTCAGCTCTTGGGGTGGTCAGTAGTGGGTCTGATGCTTTGGGGCCTTGGAAATTTTTGCGATTTGGTTCCAGTTTCAATTGGAAGCTTCCCCCTGATGACGTAGTGTTGCTAATATTTGCATGCGTTTGATCATTCATGTGTAACGACTGTGCTAGGCGTCCGAAATCATGGTTCTTTATTCATATGAGACGGTGTGCCTTGAGTGTGACAGCATTTCTGCTCATGCCTGTATTGCTTGCTGGTTGTCAGAAAACAATTGATGCCATTTTTGATGGAAGTTCTAGTTAATCTGAAAAAAATATGGTCGCTTTTCCTTGTGGGAATCTAACTAGTTTTTGTAGAATTTATTTAACATAAATGTTCCTTTCTTTCTTTTTTCTTTTCAGTTACCGTAAAACTGCTTCTGTGATGCTTTTCTAAGTTCAATAGTTCCACATGGCATACTCATTACAATATTCGTTGCAGGGCAAGAAGCAAATACTGGACACCCATCTCCTCCTAGCTGTTCACTCTTAAGTGCTGGAAGAGTAAGTGTTTTTGTTCTTTCATTTGAAATTTTGGCTAAGAACTAAATCATTGTGGTCCAGCAAGGTACATGTGTACATATCACTGATTTTGTTACAGCTGTGTTATTAACTGTGATCTTCTACAATTTCCTTTCATAAAGCAAATAGGAGTTCTCCATTTTGTCTTCATCTCTGCCAACCACCGCTGCTCCCAGCTCCCATTTCTATTCTATATTCTACACATTTCACGACTGTTGCTTATCATCATTCAGGTTTTCTGCTTCCTTTTTCGTCGTTCCATGTTTGTGTGTGTGTGTCTTGGGTAGGAAAGGCAGGACTGTTGTTGGATGTGTGCTGTGAAATAACTGTAGTGCTGTTTATCCTCAAGTTTCCATTTGATGTTCTGGGATATAGGTTATGGTTTTCACAGTAAATTGTACAAAATGCAGCTGTGCTCTTTTATATAGCTCAGGCTACTGCTAATAAGCATTGTGTCAGATTTATGATTGAAGCCTGAAGGGTTGCCATTGACTAAATTTGATTGTATGTTTCTTTCAGTCTTTTGCTGGAACTCAGAATGTTTCAAGTCTGCAGAAGGATGAAGCATGGAAAGTGAATGTCCGCATCCATGGTTGCGATCTTGAACAGGGTTATCTATGTGGAACGATGGAAGCACTTAATGTTCCATTAGCAGATACACCTGTGAGTATTCATTTGTTCTTCCACTTTGAATCTGAAATCTAATGTTATGCATTGAAGACAATATTAGTTATAGGTTTGCTAAATAAACAATTGTGCGCCATCAAATTTTTAAAAATTAACTGAGAATTATATGTGTTGCCACTTGACAGAGTGTAAGACTGGATTTTTTTTAAAAAAAATACAGAAATAAGCGATGTTTTTAACCTCATGTATTGTCTCTGTCTATAGGTAGTGACATTTTGGGAGGGGGAGATAGTGGATGCTAAAAATTACACTTTTTTCACTGGCAAGTGGGAGGCATCGTGAGTGTTTATGTTTTATGCTCATACCATCTCTATGTATGTCCTGGTGACTCACAGCATTCCAAACTTACATGTGAAAACATCTTTCTTACACTGTTTGCAGACCAGAGGACGATATAAGACATTGGTCCAAGTTCACATCATTTACGCCTCTTCTGGTAATTGGTTACCTAACTTGGTATTGTTCATCATCTTGAATCTTTTGATGATTTGTTTTTATGCCCTTCCTGCAGAGTCAGATTGAGACAGATGGTGGCAAGTCTCTGGACTTTAGCAACTATCCTTATATATTTATGGTATGGGATTACCTGACCTGTTCATTTGTTTATGGATATGCATTTTATTTACCATTTCTCTGATGCTACATGCAGAGATGGAAAGAGCAATATTTTGTCAATGTTGGAGCTGACTGTGGGTTAACCATCGCTGGTTTCTACTACGTCTGCTTTTCTTGTAGCGATGGCTCCATTAGTGGATTTTATTATGATCCAAATAGCAGGTAATGAATATTTTTCTGCCATTTATTTGTTGCAAATATTAATGGTATGGGATCGGATTCATTAAGAGAAGGTGGGCTGGTGTAAACACTTCTTTTTCTCTTCATGTGCAGTCCATTTCAGAAGCTCGAATTGAAGTGTACCAATGAGAAAAATTCTGGATTCACCTTTTCATCCTATGAGCTGCAGTGACAGGCCAGATGCCCTCGACAGAAGCATATAGTGTGGACTGAACTCATAGTCCCTAATGCTGTTGTATTAAAAGGAATGAGTGGTTGTTTATGTAACAGTTTGTTTTCTAGCAAGCTAAGCAAACTGTCACTTTGTAATCTGCAGAAGCATCTTGTCTTTTATAAAATCTACCTTTTGTATTATGTTTGTGTTAACCATGGAATGATGTGTCCAAATTTAGTTGGATAGGGAATGTGAGGGCTAAATGTTGCTTCAGAGAAATGTTATATACCTCTTCCACAATTGTTCTCTGCAATTGGGGATTTCTATTTCAACATGTCTATGATATACACATTGTGCGTGGTTCCTAATTACATGCATCATGAATACATGTTTCTGATACAATCATGATGTCAAGCTTTACTGAAGAGAAACTTCAAGATCTGATTGTTTTCTCTCACTCAAGTTCCTGGTACAAAGCTGTGGAGACCTTTCGGTTTCACTTGCAGCTATTGTATGTTTTAACTGTGACATAGTTCTATGAACAAAATAAACTTGGGGCATGTTCTTCGCCTTTGCCTTCAGCTTCCTGACATTATTAGGTAAATGAATTCTACCGATGTAGTTTCATAATGTCTTGATCTCATGCTTCAAGCTGTTGTTCATTCTCTAAGGAATAAAATACTTCTGTATCTGCATTGCATTAATTTACAGTCACTGCTAATCCAATAATAATGTTCTGCTGATAGGGTTACAGGATTACTCTGGCACATGATTTTACCTTCGATCGCACAAGGATGTGTAGACAGTGGAACAGGAGGTGTTTCTTCTCTTCTTTCCTGCAGAAACCAAGAAGAGATTTCCTTTGCCCTTCGTACCAAAGGCCTCTCAACACTCTCACTCCATGTGTCAAACAGATTGAGGATAGCATCAGTAATTACTTCTGAGAGCAATGTATCATCTTCCCCAGGTTCCAGCTTCAGCATCAGGTATCTGTTGACTGATATTAACTTCTCTATCATGTGCCGCCTATCAATGTTATATGCTACCATTGGCGCTTGGATTTTAGCAATCATCTTGAGCACCATCTGATATACTGTAGCAAATGCGTTTCGGAACACTTCGGATGCTGCTTCAGGCAGCTCCCTGTCTTTCCAGCCACTCTTCTCGTTCCCCAACTCGCGTTCTATGGTTGGCGCGAATGTTACAGTCTTCGGCTTGGTTGTGTTGACACGGAGCTTCTTCGATTCCATCAGCATCTCATTGGCTTCCTTCATTTCTGACTCAAACCTGCTGCTGACCTTGAAGTATGGTTGCTCTTGGTGTGCAGTGGGGCTCGGTGCGGTGAATTCTGCCTTGGTGATGCTTCCAGGAACACCTCAGAGGCCCCTCTGGATCGTCCGCTGTAATAATGCACACGGTAAAACATTTATCACGCATGCTCCACCATAGCGAAGCCATACTACAGTTGAATGTTTCGACTGAATTCAGCTAAAGATGTACAGGTAATACTTCATTTTCAATTATTAACAGCTGATTTGATGTGATGATGATTCCATGTGGGCCTGTGACTGACATACAGGAAGGTGCATGTTGCTGCAGTTTCCTGGGGGTTCCACGGTACTCGGCATGCCGTCGCTCCTCCTTGGCCCTGTTGCCTTCTGCGCTGGGTCCAGGTCCAGCCCTGGGCGTCCACATCATTTCCTCTTGTGCGGGTTTCTTCTTGTGATGCAGCATGTGCATCCATTTCTTGGCCTTGCTCTTCACCTTGCCCAGCACCGCCTTCTTCTGGCTCCCGCCTGGGGTCCTAGGCGACTCTGTCGGGCTCGCTGGTGGCGCCCGTGGTGAAGGCCAATATCGTTGTTGCTCCTCCCATTCGTAAGATGGATGTTGGCCTGCAAACGAATGTCCACCTCGAGGTAAGCGCAGGCGCATCATCACACTTCATCAAGAGATCGAATAAGATAACAATGTCAAGATGTCGTGGAAAAGAATTCAAGAACGATGAATCAAAACTGGGTGTCAAAATAATCCAAATGGAAAGATCTTTTACCATTTTGGACGAGGTGGTCACTTGGTTTGGTGCTGATCCCACGCTTTAGCTTTCTGATCTCGCTCATGGTTGTGCAGGAATAGGAACCACACCCGATCCAAATCCAAATCCTAAAAGCTTGGGAGGAGCTATGCAGAGCTGTGCCGGCAAGGCAAGAAATGGATTTGCTCGGCCTATCCTAAAGTTGGCAAACTTGAGGGCAACTTTTACGAGTTATAGCTGTTGCAAGGGTGAATTCTGGGGAGAGTGGTTGCGTCCTGCCCCCCCGCTATTCTTGGAGATTGTTTGGTGGTCGGAGGGAGGCGAGCCTTTTGTGCCGCATCCTTGGAGCCCTCCAATGTAGGGACGAGATCTACGAAACGAGATTCATATCTTTGTCGTGGTAGATGCGCCATGCTTTCCGCGTTTCTACAGCATGACTGATACTGATATAGCAGAGCCCAGGGGTTAAAAATCGTTTCTTTTACGAACAATGTCATTGCTCACCATCAATTTCCCCGATATAGTATGTTCAAAAAATTCCCCTATATAAGTAAGCACGGTTGACTTTGTACTTCTTTGGATTATAGATAGTACTACAAGTTTGTTGACTTTGTACTTCTTTGGATTATAGATAGTACTACAAGTTTGTTAAAAAAACAAAAATAGATTTTGGAACCCTGAAAAAACAAAAGATTGAAAAAGAAAATAGAAAAGGCATACCCATATCTATATAAGACTTTGTTCTTTTATTAAAAGTAGAAGTTCTGTTAATATAACAAAATAGACTTGGAACCCTGGAAAAACAAAAGACTTAAAAAGAAAATAGAAAAGGAATACCCCTTATATAAGTAACCATGGATAACTTTGTTCTTTTTGGGATTAAACGGTAGAAGTTCTGTTACAAAAACAAAATAGACTTGAACCTAAATTGCAAAAGATATAAAAATAAAATAATTTGGGATTAAATGGCAGAGGTTCTGTTACAAAAATAAAATAGACTTGAACCCAGAAAAACAAAAGATAACAAGATTACAAAAGATTAAAAAATAAAATAAAATAATTTGGGAAAACGGCAGAGTTTTGTTAAAAAACAAAATAGACTTGAACCCAGAAAAAAAACAAAAGAAAAAGTGAAAAATATAAGATTAAAAAATAAAATAAAATAATTTGGGAAAACGGCAGAGGTTTTGTTACAAAAAAATAGTCTTGAACCCAGAAAGAAAACAAAAGAAAAAATGAAAAAAAAAGACTTGAACCCAGAAAAGGGAAAAATGGAAAATATAATGTCAAGAATGGGATTCGAACCCATGCCCTTTCGGACCAGTACCTGAAACTGGCGCCTTAGACCAACTCGGCCATCTTGACATCTGTGATGAGTGCATTACTGGATTTTAATTATTTTTAAAAATGTACTATACTTCTAATCTAAGTTCTAACAGACATTTCTCAATAGAATATATAGAATGTAAGATTTACCAACGTTGAGACTCAAACGTCTTCATATGGTACTACTATGATTAATTAGATCGAGAAGATTGTTTGCGATGTACTCCGGTTTTAGATTGATGATGACCAATGAGCATAAGAATAGACAATTTTTGTATAAACACATGTATGTGATATTCAACTTTTTATTGTATCAAATAACGATGGATATCAAATCCAAATAGACCTCGTCTAGTCAAAGCAACTAAAGTTAAATCGAACTTTTTATCCAAATCCACTCCCATATCTAAACCAGGTATTGTCTGTATTCTGAAGGTTGCCTAGGAGACATGCCAGAACTCCGCCTACAGGCGATGAGCAACTGCTGCATAGAGTCCGAAGAAGGCTGATAGAGCATTCAGCTAACCTGCTCTTAACCAAGTTGTGCCGCCAGGTGACTAAAGAAAAGGAATACATATTATAGTTTTCTGAAATTCCTTCATCATTTGAACCCTCCAATTCCAATCATATAAAAAAATCAATTGCAGTTTTGAAAAACTTTGTTGCTACATCAATTTGTATCAGTTGTCAAATAAATAGCCTGACTGAGATGGTTCGCTCACTATGTCATTTTCTGTGTGAGAAGTTAAGGCGAGTACACAATGTTGTACCGATGAAACAGGTTCTCTCCATGCTCTCTGTAATCTGCTAGGCTGAAAGTTTGTTTACCAAACTTGCTTGATGCCGCAAAGGCAGCAGCACCCCTCCACGCGTCTAAAATGGGATCAGCTGCTCTGACAAGCTTCAGGGGAGCGAGGTAGGGCCGATATTGCCGTATCCCAGACTCCAGCCGAGGGATCATGCCAGGGAACAGGGAGCTCCCGCCAGTGACAAGGATTGACTGGCAGAGGCGCTCCTTCACAGACTCGTCCTCCATTAATCTCCTGAGTGAGATGCTGACCATCTCATCAATGCCAGCCTGGTCGATTCCTATCATGCCTGGCTGGAAGAGGACTTCAGGGCAGCGGAACCGCTCGATTCCAATGGCAATCCTGTAATCCTCTGCGGTGAGTGGCCGGATTTTGGGAGGCTCTGGAGTCAGTTGAACAGCTTCAGATTTGGACACAAATGTAGGGTCGATCTCCTGCACAATGAAACATCAAATGATATCTGATTATAGCCGAAATTGTTGATATCTGAAATGAAACTAAGATAGGATAGAATTGTCACCGCCAGAAGGAAATCTTGAAGCGGGGATTTTACCTGGAGCTTTGATGCGATTCGAACAAGTTCCGATTCATCGTCATCATTGCTGTCATCGTCATTGTCTTTGCTCATCTTGTTGTAGACTAACCAATCCTCGTCTCTCATTCCAAAAGTGTCCTCACCTTTGCCCCGATCAAATGCAGCTGAGGCAAGCAGCCGCATCCTTTCTTTCTGAGCTGCATTTAACCGTTCTCCACGGCCTACACCACCAGATGAGCTATGGTTCCCATTTGTCTGACCACCATTAACTTTCTGTCGCTTCCTCTGCTCAAATTTCTCAGAAAGTTCTGAATATCGGGACCGAAGCTCTTCAAGGTATAACTCTGGGTTCTCCCTATATAGTTGAATGAAACAAATTACAAGAGTAGCATATAATAGAACGTCTGGCAAATATTTAAAAAAAGATTTGAGGTCATTTATCTAAACATGAGGTAGACGATTCATACAGAATTCTAGAGACATAATACATAGGCACAGCCAAATTTTCTTTTCCTGTTCAATGTAGCAACATGGCTCGGTCCTTTGCTCTTAAAAAAACACAGGGCCTTACCTTATGCAAGATTAAAAACATGCATGGAAATACAATTTATAAAGGGTAATCACTATTTGGTATGGCAAAATACACAATGCGGTTTTGTCCTATATTTGAACATTGATCCACAAGGGGTCATAGTATCTAAAGAAGGAACTTGCTGAAAGTGGCTTTGAAATAACTAATACTGAAAATTAACAAGACATGGAACAATAGGAGTATCTTATCATTGGATATAAGAAAGCAAAGAAGATAAATTTCAAACTGGTTATATCACAACTTACGCACGCCTCTTTTCTTCTTGTTTCTCCCGCAAAGCCTCCTCTTCAGCACGCTTCTGCTTAGCACGCAATTTGCCCTCTGTTGTGGTTTTAAGTAATATCTGTTTCTTCTTTTCCTTTAACTGGTAAAATACACAGAAGTGGAATGCAACAATGGTTAGAGATTCCGGGGTATGTAAAGGTGTAAACTTAAGAGAATATGTATCTACAGTATGCACACAATATCCAGATGTTAGAAGCACATGAATAAAATTCTGTAGATAATAACTGAACAAACACACACCTGTTCTGGCGTCAGTGTCTCATCAGGGACAGATACAAGTGGATACTTATCAGCTGCTGAGGCATCAGTTTTCTCATCATTGCCATTGGACTCCCCTTTTGCTTTCCTTAGGGATTGTGTTGCTTTCAAAATGGCAGATTTGATTTCCTGCTGGGAAAGATATCCAGATCTACCTAGAATAGCTGTTGCTTCTTGTTCCTCAGCTTCATCAAGTTGCTCCATTACTTCCTCCAAATAGGAAAGTTGCTTTTCTAGTTCCACTATCTTCTGAGATCTCTTTGCAGCAGCCATGTCTCGCAAACGTTGACTAGCCTTTTCCTTCAAAGCTGCTTTCCTTGCAAGTTCTTCCTCAGATGGTGGTTCGTCCTTTGGTGGGGGAACCCATGGTAGCTGCCAATACCTCATTTTCTCATCAGCTTCTTCCTTATTGTTCTGCAGCATGAAGTGATCAATCCATGGTGTTACAAGAATGTTCAGTAACAGAGAAAACATATAACTAATATACTTTTGGAAGAAAAGAATCACCATCCCAAGGAAGTACAAGCACAATGATTTGTCAAATCCTATAGAACGCCCTATGCACTCTATACAAATTCATTCAAAACAAGAATGCAAAAATTCAAAGCTTTATATAAAGGGCGTACCCAGTGCAGAGAGCTCCCGCTCTGTGCGGGGTCTGGGGAAAGGTGTCAGTGGCAAGCCTTACCCTCGCCTGTGCAATGCGAGAAGACCGCGACTCGAACCCAGGACCTTCCGGTCACAGGCGGTAAGACTCTACCGCTTGCACCAGGCCCGCCCTTCAAAGCTTTATATAAGAACAGAAAAATATATACAAGTTTCTTACTTTAAATATCTGCAACTCTGCCATATAATCAAGAGCTATATAACAATGCTCCTTCTTCAGCTCTTCAGCCTTATCCCATGTAATACTTGCCCTGTTCAATGTAAAATGGTACTGTTACATGGTAGGAAAAACAAACACTATGAAGTACTTCAGAAATATACTATCACCTACATGTGATAGGGATATTTTAGAGAGAGAAGCTGCCTCAGAAAATCAGTAATGTGAAATCCACCAACATTGGTTCTGCAGCATGCCCCCAACACAGGCTGCCCTTTCAAAAACTGAAAAAACCGATCAAACAAGGCTTTTAGTTCAGAAAAACAACAATTTAATTTGAAATACACAGGTGGAAAAAAAAGCAGAGATTTTATTTCACAGAAACGCTTTAATGATTCTAATAGAGTTTTCTTTTCATTATTGACTACTACAGGGATCATGACCAAGGAGCAAAATCCATTTTACCCAAAAAAAAGGAGCAAAATCCATATTGTGGTTCATACACTCAAGGATGGATTTAACATGATAAATTCCGTATGTCGAACCCCAGCAGAAACTGAAATAATATTTTTCCCAAAAACTGCCTGCAATATCACACTAGATTAAGGCAAGCTTGACTAAAGTTGTTCGGCTAGGAGTATCAGTGGACAATTTCCCTTAAAAATGTGAATAATGACAGCATCTTGGAATGTCAATAAAAATACTCTGTAGCTGCATGCGAAAGCAGTCTTCAGCAGTGGTAGATTCATTTCTTTTTACCACAGAATTATCAATAGATACAATTCTAGTCGTTAAATATTATTAAACATCAATTGCAATATTTAAAACACATATGCACTGCATTTATTTTACTGGACGGAAGACAAAATCAGCCAAACATTCTGTTATATCTGGTGAAAGTTGGAGAGAGGTGTATCTTGGGGACAAGAACTTACTGGAACAACATGACAAGTTCCATGTTCACATGAAATAGCCAGCCCGTCTTCGTTACAGTTTCCAAGTTTCTGATTGTACTTATAACTAAACGCGTTGTCGATGCCAAATGCTACATTTCAGATACAAAGCAGCAGCATCAGCATTGCAAACCTTATGATAAAGTAACTAATAACATATAACTAGATGCAGCTCATAACATCAAGATCACATAAATTATTACCAATGGATGGTACACCATATGTCTCGAAAAGTAGTTCTGACATTCGGACTCGAGAAAAGGATGGATTACATTCACATTCTGTCATAAGAATTGGATGGCCCACCTGTTGAGCATCATTGTTAGCTTTCAACAACACTCAGCCGAATAACAGTTTGGTTGAAGAAAGAGAAGTCACAAATTTCTGGTAAAGGATATATACGGACAGATAATATAGCCGTCTTAATAAGTGTCAGCATGTCTGATGCGGATTAACATAACTGAAGCAATGTGCAGTGATTACACTATTGGAACATGGAAGTGCTGATTTAGGAAGACAACTCTTCCTTGTTTATGTTTCGGTATCATGGACTGGTAAGGAGAACAAACTTACCAACAGAGTTAACTTGACAACCCATGCTCATTTTGTATTTAAAGTAGAGTAGCTCAATACCACTCATTTATTGTCATTTTGCCTCGCCTTTATGAAAGGCTGCAGCTTGAGTTCGTCTTGGAAATATTAGGACACCCTACTGACTTGAAAAATTCTACAGATGAACTCTGTACAATATAAGAACCTCTAAGATCTGCATCTGGAGAGAACCCAGTATCATCAGATTCATTACACACACTGAACTGATATAAACCACCCAAGGCTCCTGTGATTCAACAAGACTAGCTACACCAGCATTTTTCTTATGTCTCAAATACAATGCACAGCAAATTAACAAATAAAGGTAAAGATAATAATAGTTCAATAACAACAGAAGAAATATAAATTATTTTGGAAAGAAACCAGAACACAATGCAAATTTACCTCTGAATTGGCACCTAATCGATCAAAGCCATAGTCAAGAATCTGCAATAGATAAATAATACTGTATCAGACAAGAAAAAAGAACAATAACAAGGGCAAAAGGAATATGCCCTAGAGTGTAAACACCATGATCCAGAAAATTAAGAAGTCACATGTTTTGTTTATATCTTTGAGCCATAAGATTGCAATTGGCATTTACTGCCATTATAGGGGACCATCTGAATCATGAGACGGATGATCACTCGGCTAATAGTGGAGTAATTACTCAATATAAAACAGTTTACGGGAGTATTTCACTATTTTGCTTTGACAATGTTTTTTTACCATCAATCATGTTTCAACCACGGATTATGGACATAAAAAATATCATTTAACACATGTAGTACTTTAGTGATTTTGCCCTAACTAAAACTTCTAATGTGATTTATCGAGAATGTAGTTGTTTAAATGTATTCTAGAGAAGGGTGATGGAACAGATTGATCACTGGTTTATCTATCTTCAAAATTAAATATGAATAACAAAGAACCATCTATATATCTACTGAGAACTAAAAACTGGTGGATGGTGTCAGAGAACAAACATATTCCATGTACTCGAACTGATAGACAACATCGTCATCAAATGGAGAGCGAACTGCCGATCTTGTGCAGTCAAAGAACTTCATTAGAGATGGATCAGTGTCCCCAACAATTGAAACAGTTTCACCTGTACCATGGAAATTAAATTACAATGAGTTGAATAATGAAACTTTCGTTAATCCTCTTGCAAGTCCGTTGATTGAAACAGTCATGAGAGTTGAGAGCTTCAAATAAGTAAATTTCTGCTCCTTTCATATAATCATTCAAAACAATATGAAGCTTACAGAGCACTCAGCAAACACAACGATAACAGTAGAAATATCTGGGCTTTAGAACATTTTGCAGGATTACTTGTAGCACAACTACATGAAACGGACCAAAGTAACATGGGATCATAAAACACAATCCTATCGAGTCTATGCAGACAACTAAAATTTCAATTTGTATCCAGTTCCCCGTGCACTACAACAGAATTAGTTCATGCAGACAAGAGTGAAATCACACAAACAAATGGAAATCAGCTTGAGTGGTATCGGAATCGATCTCTATAACCGTCCCAAATGATCAACGTACTGTCACAGTAAACGCTCTTGAATCCCCCACAACAATAACGATTCTTAAGAGTAAAGTATAATTCCTGCCAGCGGGAAACTGCACACTCAACTTCTGAAACCGAACAGCAAGGAGCAACTAAGCAAACACGAGAACAGAAAATCTACACTTCCACGCAGTTTTCAAGCACCAAATCAACACGAAGTAGCATTCTCCGTAGCGTAAGGCGGCGTACCAGTGCTGCGGTGGCGCGGCCTCTGCACGACATTGCGGAACGAAAGGCGCGGCTCCGCCTCGCCCGCCCACCTGCACGGAGGCAACCGCCACGTTACAGAATACTGGAAGGCCCGCTAGGGTTAGGGTTTGGGGAGTGCCCGGCGCGGCAGGAGCTCTTACCCGATGCGGAACGTAGAAGCGCCGTTGTCGATGACGATGGGGGTGGACGACGGGAAGCGCGCAAAGTCGGCCTCCCGCCGAGGGCGGGTCACCGATGACATCTCGCCGGCGGCGGCGGCGACAGGGCTCGCCGGAAGCGGGGGAGAAGAGGGGTTTGGAGCTTTTGGTAACCTTGTCCTTTTTGCTGCGTCGTCCTCTTCCTCTTCGCGACTCGCGAGCTCGAGTCTACTTGGCGTCTTGGGCCTTGGCGATCAACACGGGACCAGGAGTATTAGCGTAAAACCCCCTGTCATTTCACATAAGTTGTATGCAGAGCATCAGAGGTCGCACATTGACATACTCCATTCTGCATTATCTTTCCTTATTAGTTTGCAAAGGCCACGAAGGATAGCAGAAGTGAAAATATTGATAGCTACAAAGTTTCTATTACTTGGCTAAAGATGGTAACAAAATGCAGTTGACGGTCTCTAGCACAAGATATAGAAGGCAATTATTTATTGTTTGTATATACGATTTTCGATATATTATAACATCGACTATATTTTTGCATGATACTTGATGAATTGATTTAAACTCATGAAGTATGACAAACTCGAATTTACATTTACTAAGAGCAGCTTCAAAAATCCTCCTAAATCTCACTCTCCAAATTATCATTTAGAGAGTCATTTGCATTGTTTTCTATATCTTTTCACTCTCCAGCAGTTTTATATATCTCGTGCTCACTCTGCAGAGCCATTCTCGTTTTTCTATTTTTAGGTAGCGAGAAATCCGGAATAGATAGTGGTTGTATTTAGATAACCATTTAAAAAAGCTGTTGAAGGGTTTCATCATAATCTCTTCCTAGCAATTAAGAAGGATATAAGGAGTCTCTTGGAGTTGCTCTAAGTGTGATAAATAATTAGTTATGCAACCTTAACTTCATCGTTGGAGCTTTTGTCAGTGCAATTGTATTTTCTTTTTCTACATCTATTCATCAATTTGTTTGTCACAGCACTACTCTTATGTCACAAGAAATTCACGTATGTATAGTCATGTGTGTAATTTTGGATCCAAAGATTTAGTGATTTGGATGGAACGATATAGCCATGTGTTATGTGATACAGCCAACATTTATATCCTACAATAATCGTTATGCAAAACTACACAATATCACACAACATCTAGTTGCAAATTATAACTCGTCGCAGTCCGAGAAACCTTTCATCAGGGAAAAAAAAAAAACCACAATTTCACCCAATAATTTCGTCCTGGTTTTAAGTAAAAGTCCTATTTAGTTTCCATAAATTAAGAGGAATTAGAAAGTAATCTAATAATAAAATGAAAAGCATTTTCTAGATATTGATTTTAATTCATATGATCCAAAAAGACCGTAAGTGTTGCTTTTTTTTTTCTAAACTTTGCATTGCGCGGAACGTTGAGAAAGAAGACACCCATTCCCAGCACAGATTTTTTTCCACAGTGCAGAAAATCAGCAGGGCCAAAATTTACACGATACTTCTCAATTTGCGATCAAACAGTATCGGTTGTTCTCGAAGCATATGCTAGCGACAAGTTAAAACCGCGCATAATGCAGTTGAACATGTCAAAATTCGATTAAATCCACTCTCTCTGTTTTTCTTTCTGATATAAGGAAATCCACTCCTCTGCTAAAAGGGACCGCAAAAACCACAGAACACAAACTTCTTTCATCCATTCAGTCCTTCAAGAGTTCAAGGAATATTGAGTCCCCGTAAATCGCTTCTCCTGTTCCTTGCCACCGCCCGGCCTGCCCTCCGCCTTCCCCTTGCTCACGCCACTGCCAGCCGCCGAAGGGGGCGCCAAATCGAACCTTTCTCTTGGGTACACCCGGAGCTACGGCGTTCACTGCCGCCGCCGGAGACGGCGTGGGCGGCTGCTCCACCGGCTTGCCGTCCATCCGCGCCGCGACGCCGGTGAACAGGGACGGCTGCGGCGGCTCGTCGCTTCCTTGTTGGCTGGCGACGACGCGCGGGGGCTCCACGTAGTCGAGCGGCGGCGCGAAGTCCACCGCGCAGACCGTGTCGAGGGAGCAGACCGCGTCGGCCGGCTGCGCCTCCAGCACGTCCAGGTAGTACCGCCGCTCGCCCTCCGTCACCGCGATCGTCTCGCCGGCGGTCACGCACGGGAACTTGCCGAAATTGTACTCCAGCCTGCACGGCAAGTTCAGAGGACAGACGGTTAGCTGAATGCTTCATCACAAAAGCAAAGCCTGAATGAAAAAGAAAAGAAAAATTCAAAACTTCGTCGTCTGGCACTCACAGTTCCCTCGGGTGGGAGACATGGAGGAAGTCCTTGGTGTGTGCCTGCAGCTTGATGAAGGTGGCCTTGGGCAGCGACGTGCTCCTCACCAGCACGATCTCGTTCTCCAGGACACCCAGGTGCGCCAGCAACTGAAAAAAAAAAGAGAACACAGAGACCCGCGTCAGGTTCTTCGTTCATGGCGGCTGAATTACGGTACTAACTATGCACCGGGGATTGTATCCGAAAGGACGGTGGATACTTACCCAGCACGGGGATGAACCCTTCGTCGGCGACGAACTCGAGCACGCCGCAGTGCGTGACGCGCTCCGTGCTGGGGTTCTTGATCTGGAACTAAGGATGAAAACGGAAACGGAATATCCCGAACTCAACCGCATCGTTTTCTATATTTCACCCGAGCGAATTCGTATTTTCGGACAAAATACGGAATACTAAATTCAAATTCGGATCGAATTCGGTTTAGGTTTTGTTCGACCGATTTCTAGTTTTCTACATTTTATTCGGAGTCTTCCGTATTCTAAATTCAGTTCGAACCGAATTTGGTCCAGCTCGCGCACGAGCAGCCCACCTGCGCCCTCGGCCCAGACAGCCTTGGCCTCCCCAACGGCCCAGCCGAACCCCACCTCCTCTCGTGGCCTGCTCCGACGCACAAAGCCCAAGCCACCAGGCCCGCTCCGCGGTCTGTTCCTTCCCTTTGGCCCAGCGCGCGCGCATGGCCCCTAGGCCCAAGCCAAGGCCCGCATGGCCCATGACCGCGCGCCCCAACACCCAAACCCTAGAGCAGAGACGCTCCCGACCGCCCCCAGGTGCCGCTGCCGCTGCCTGTCCATTCCCCGCCTCGGTGCCCGTACCCAGCGCCACAGGATGAGCGCCGCGTGTCCCGGAGCCCGCACGGTCGTGCACTTGTTTAATGCTATGCACTTGAATTAAATCATGCACTTGGTAGTTGTGAACTTGTTATGTATTTGGTCGTGCACTTGTTTAATGCTATGCACTGTGGGTCGGTATTTCGTATTGAATTTTCGCATACCGGCCGTGTTCGACATAATTCAGCTCGAATTGGTTCGTTTCCGAAGTTCTAGATATTCCGTAAGTTCATGTTCGTTTTCATGTCCGGCTTGTCCGCTTTCGCTTTCGCTTTCGTATTTCAAATGTAAAAGTAGAAAACGGTTGATGAGTTTTTTTTTTATCAAGTTCCACTGTTTTCATCCTTATCTGGAACAGCATCGGGTACTGGATGTTGATGAGGCGAGCAAGCCGATCAAGGGCAGACAGCGGCATGATAACTGAAAATCAAGATGCAGCAACAGAAAGTTAGAACATTGCATATGTGCATCCGGAGAAAAGGAAATTAGAGCATCTCCAAGAGTATCCTAAATCTCCTCATAATCCTTGGTTTTTAGTAAGATGAGAAAAAATCCCTTTCCAATAACTCCTAATATATCCTCCTAAAATTTACGCACTTGAAAAATTCTCTCCTATCGCGCGTAACTTTATGCGGACTCGGTGTCGCTCGGAAAGAGGTTTCCTATGCGGCTTCATCTTCGCGTGCCTTCTTTTGCCGCGATCCACTCCTTCCCGCGCGAGTTCTCCATCGCTAGTTCCTACATCGCGAGTTCCTTCGTGGCGTCCAACGCTCGCCGTCGAGGGTAGACGATCGACGCCACCATGGACGTAGCGACGAGGTACATACTCGATCCATCGATCTTCCTTGTTTTGCCGTGGGCTTGCTGCGGCACGCCGCCACCATGGACTGCCTTGGCCGTCGTTAGGTTTCCCTTGGCCGTCGCTAGGTTTGCCGCGGCCGGCTGTGTGCTTCTTGCCGCGCGTCCGTGGCCGGCTGTGTACTTCTTGCCGGTGCTGTGTACGTGATGATGGGCGGCTGGTGCTACTGGCCTGCTGATGGCCTGTACGTGCTGCTTACTACTGTTCGCATGGTACTGTTCGCATGGTATTGTTTCCTGGTTGTGATGGTTATGATGTTCTAAACATTACTTTCAGATTGTTGGCCGGCCTGACTGGTGGCTGGCGGCCTGTGGCTGAAGGTCGGGATGTGGTGCCGCCCTGCTGGGAGGTGCTGCCGGCGATCTGTGGCTAGGAGATGGTGCCGACCTGCTGGGAGCTGGCCACGGCCGGCTGGAACTGCAAGGCTAGGTCACGACGAAGGAAGGAGGAGCGACGGCGGCGTCGAAGACTTTTGCGGGGAAAAAAGTGATGCAGAAAAAACCTAAGTGGGACCAAATTTTAATTTTTTAGGAGTGAAATATTGGATACTATTGGAGATGGACTTCTTTTTCTCTCCCAATATCTTTTTAGGAGTTGAAAAACATAAAGTTTTTTGAAGAAAAATTTAGGATCCTCTTGGAGATGCTCCGAAGGAAAAAACACAAGGAATAAAGCAAAAAGCTTTACCCCTGTTTCCGTCCTCATCTGCGTTCTCCTTCTTCAGGAGAGACAAGGGCAGGCAGAGGTAATACTGCACGAACGTTTGCGACTGCAAGCGGAGATACTCCTCGAAATCCTCAACGTGAAGATCAAGCAAGATTGGTTGATCCGTCCTTCTGTCTAACTCTGTTGATCCAAAATCTAAGTCGAACCATGCAAAAGGAGATAATGATGATCGACTAGAATTACGCAATCAACGGCTTATTTGGTCACTTGTAGTCTGAGCAAATTTGATTGTCGTGTCAACAGTAACTTAAGATCGTCTTAATTAGCAATGCTAGTCTAGTAAGCAACCAAGAACCCTTCACGGATCGATCAGACTACGAAAATCTGGAGAGAAAAAAGAGGAGGAACATGAACATGAAAAGAATTCGAGAAGCAAATCATACCATCGTGAACTCGGTGATGTGTCGTGCCCGAGCCCTTTGCGCCTGTCAAAATCTTCTCTCTATCTTCGAACTTCGCACGGGAGCAGAAGAACAAAATCCGAGGACCGAGCGTAGCTCGGTTGGCTTGCTCGCCAGGTGTGCCAGCGGCCGGGCGTGAGTTCGACACTCGCGTGCCTCACGGGTTTTTTCAATTTAGGTCCCTCGTGTGTGGATGTGCCACAATGTGTGTGTGCGCGTGTGGTGGTGTGAGTTATATATGTGTTTAGATGAAAAATCCAATCGGGCACAAGCCAACGTGAAGACTCAAATTTAGCATTTTTTTTAGCTCCTCCGAACTTCTGAAAAGTGCACTATGTAAAAAAAAGATTCTCCGTCACATCAAATTTGCGGTACATGTATGGAGTACTAAATATAGATGAATTCAAAAACTAATTACACAGTTTACTTTAACTTTACAAGATAAATCTTTTAAACTTAATTAATCAACGATAATAATTCATAAATATAAATAAAATACTACGGTAGAGAATCTTCAACGTGCAAAGTTGCCCAAGTAAATACTGGGAGTGCTCCCGATGCAGGGGAGGGGCGGCAGATCAGTATCGGCGGCGGATTCCGCAGCACAGCAGCCTTCGTCCGCGGCTCCAGGACACCAAGCCAGGCCCACGTGCCGGTGAAATCGGCACGAAAGAAAAGACGCGCGAGCCTCATGCCTCTGGCCTCTGGGTCCGACGAAATTACGTGTTCGGACCCGCGCCGCACCCGCTCTGTTTTGTTTCTTCCCGTGCTCGCCTTCGCCGGCGGCTGCGCTACGCCGCGAGCCCCCAAAACCCTAACCCTAAATTTGGGGGACTGGGATAAAGAGGGGGAGGAATCGAACCGGCGACTTGCGGCGGCGGCGGCAGCGATGGCGGCGAAGCGGGAGATCTCGAGCACCCTGAGGAACCTGAAGGTGAGGAGCCCCTGTCCGTCGCCGCCCTCGGTTCTTCTGTCTCCGTGGATTGGCTGGCATCTCACGGGTTTCTGTGTTCGTGTGGCGGCTGCGCAGTTTATGCAGCGCGGCGCGGCTGCGCAGAAGGTCGAGGAGAAGGCCAAGGTGGAGGTACAGGAGGTGGTGACGGCGCCGAGTGGAGGCTTCGGCTCGTCAGCGCAGATCGTTAGGAAGTGGTATGGAGATTAAAAGCTTGTTTTTGTTTTCATTCTTTCCTGCTGTTATGGTCTTCTACTTGATCAACATGGTTCCGGAGATTTGAGAGTTCAGTTCAAGCTAGCATGAAAACTGTGTACAGTGAACATGTGCATTTTAGTTTTGGTATATCTTTCCATCCAATTAAAATGGACTGTTCATGGCATGTTGGATGAATATTGCAGCTTTTTTTTTCCAACAGTGATAATAACTGGACAGAAATGGACATGAAGATGCTTATGTGATTATGGCAGTAGGATTGTAGGAGTGTTAGAATAGTGTTACATACTTGTGTGGCACGATTATCCTCATACATTGAAAAAGATAAATGCGCATTTTCGTTATTATAGCTACTAATGTCGTGTGGAAAATTCTTGATAAAACTAGCTTTCATGCACAGGTGCTGATTAAACTGGTACTGTTTCTCTATGCAGCATAGTTATCATGGAGGGTAATCCTCACCCAGGAGCTATAAAGGGTCGGATCTCTTTCCAAAATTTCAATCCATCTATCGATGTGAGTTTGGAAGGTTGTTTTTGTTGCATTTGCCATTCTGGCAATTATGTACTTGTAGATTTGTGTTCCCTTACACAATCCTAGATGTGTATAGAAACTAAATGAAGAGGCAAGAGGTGACCGCCAAACAGAATCAGCTTCCCCCAGTAATCGTGACCAAGACAGTGCAAACTCCAGCAGGTTAGCTATTTCTCTGTTATGTTACTTTAGTAAATTCAATCTGTCACAAAATATGTTTCTTGGTAATTATTAAATGATAAGCGCACCTAAATAAGAAAGAGCTGGAATGCTTATAAACTAATCACTAATAACTGTCCGCGTCGTGATATCAGACAAGTTTATATCAATATTTTAGATGTTATAACACTTGGTTTACTGGATACTCGTAATTGATAATTGACACCAATGTCAGGATGAAAATTTCTAAAATCGTATGGAATCCATTTGTTGAGATGTTATGGACTTCTCAGACTCGAGTTTTGTATCTGTTAACGAACTATATACTAACAGTCTTCTCGTTGTATTGTTTTACTGAATGGGGATGATGGAAATTGCAAAGGTTATTTAATTTTAGAAAGTTTTGTGTATATGCTATGAAAGCTTCAGGATCTGCATACATGCTTACAAAAGCTCATTCTCTATCGTAGTGCAAATGGCCTGTCAAAACCAGATTCAGTTTTATCACTAAATAGTAGGCTGTAGGCCATACAAAAGGTTGTGGATGTAGTATAGCATCTACAGTTCTGTAATTCAATATCAGATTACTTCTGTAGTTTTTCTATCTATGAAATGTATATTGATGGATGCTTCATCTTTACTTGATATATGGTTGATATGAATTTGCATGTGATACCTTTTGCAATGAAATGCAGAGGGGATGAAGTTCCAGCATCGAGATCTAGAGATTTTGACATTCCCAGTTCAGAAAGCATATCTCTGAATGAACTGAAAAGGAAAGAGCCCGAACTCGATATGGAAACACTGCCATCTTATAAGGAACCAAAAACGAACGTTGATGGTAGGTCATCTTCGCAAAGCAATGGTCGTGGATCAAACAAGTCCAACAAGCGTGAAAAGCTCGACTTCAATCATCTAAGACCAAAGAAATAAAAGTCGCATTCGAGTTACCATAACTATGAGTAGCTCTTGTACTTTGTTTGTAGTTGTACCCAATTGGACATTTGCCATGTTTTGTCGATTATATATCTAGAGGGCTGGTAACCATGTCCATGTGGCATGCTTGTTCTTAACTTTAGTGAGATGGTGTTAATCATTATATTTCTACTCCATTACTCTGTTGTAAGGTGTGAGGATCTGCTTTAGAGCAGTGAGGAATACAGTTCTGCTTATGTTTTATGCCGCACACATTGTTGGCGAGGTGATGATCGTTGCGTTTTGCACTGTGTTGCATCCTCCATTTAATTGCAAGCGAATGCACGCCTTGCCTCATCTTTTGATGCCGCCCTTCATTTCTCTTGTTGCTGTTCCCTAATGTATTGGGACTCGCCTGCATGTATTGGGACTCGCCTGTTGCACATAACTTGTTTAGTTTTCACCTGTCCCAAAAGGTGAAAGCTTGTTACATATTCCACATCGGAGGTCTGAAAGGTGGGGTGGTCATGTACGAAGGAGATCTTTAGAGGCACCAGTGCATTGTGGAATTCTTAGTCGAGATACTAATGTGAGGAGAGGTAGAGTAAGACCGAATCTGGAGAAGACAATAAAAATATATTTAAAAGGTTGAGATATATCTAGAGATCTTTGTTTAGATAGGAGTGTTTGGAAAGCAGCTATCGACGTACTTGAATCGTGACTAGGGATGTTGGGTTTCAACTCTAGCCTATTCTAACTTGTTTGGGGACTAAAATGCTTTGTTTGCTTAGGACTAAGGCCTCGTTCGCTTCGCTGAAAAAGCAAGCTAAAACACTGTCCCGGCTGATTTGTTGTGAGATAAAAAACACTGATCCGACTAAAAAAACAAGCTGAAAAAGACGGATTATAAAAGAAACGAACGTGGCCTAAAAGGCGGCGGCGGCGGCGGCGGCGGCATCCTCCTCCTCCTCGTCCTGAAAGGATTTGACACTAACGATTTTATGCGATCCCTTCGTATAGAAATCTTCATTCTAAGCACCCCTTTGGAATGTAGGAAAATGAAATATGTTTTTTTTTTCTGTGAAAATGAATTGATTTCTGGAAAATTCCTGTATAATTCGCGCGTTACAAATCGAAGGATTTTTCTTGGCTGAGAGAAGGCTCCAATTGGCTCCAATTTTGCATCTAAAACACGTTGGCCCCACTTGTCAATGACCGATGTCGTCCAGATGTCTACTCGATTTGTTTCTCCAATTCTTCTCTTTCAAGTTTCCTCTCGGCACATCGGCGGAAGGCGCTCAAAGCTAAACCTAGTTTGAACCTGTACTAGCCGGCGACGGCGGCGGTGGAGCGTGGGATACCCGGAGATGCCGGCGGCGTCTGTGGTCGCGTCGGCCGTGGAGAGGCTACAGACGGCGGCGCAGGACGCCGCCATGTCCTCGTCGCGCTCGGCCGTCGCTTTTTCCGAGCAGGCGCAGCAAACCCTCGTGCCCAGGGCCGCCGGGTAAGCCGTCTCCGCTGACTCCTGCCTCCATCTCCTCTCGATTCGACGCATCCGCGGTCATGAGATTTATGCTTGCTCTGTTGTTTGCCCTGATTTGGTATGGCCACGCGGAAATTGCAGCGTGCTTCTTCCAATCCCCAGTAATAATTACAGCTGTACTTCTGATCTTATTACTGTACTTAATGGAATCAGTTTACTTCCAGCCAGTTTGGCTTACGTTTACACAAGCAGTATGAGGTAGTATCGTGCGATATGAGTGATTCATGGTTTGGTAGGCAATGTACTTTAATTATAACTTCATGTTTCCAGTGGTTTAAATTATATGAAGGGCAACTGGTGGTTTTCCCCGGAACCTTCATGTAACCAAATTTCCAAAAGAGAAGCATAAGAAATCCCTTGTCTGAAGCTTACAGTTACTGTCAAGTTAAACTGAAAGCGGTAGCTTGATGTATTGAATTTTATAGGTTTAAGAACTTCAAATGACTACTACTACTGAAAAAAAAATTCTTAGAGTTGTCTTAATTCAAACTTTTTAAAGTTTGACCGAATTTATAGAAAAGAGCGTTAAGATTTATGACACAAAATTAGTATTATTGAAGGCACCATAAAGTATATTTTCAGAATATGCTCATTTGGTATCACAAATATTTGTACCTTTTTCTATAAATTCGGTCCAAAATGAAAAAGTTTGACTTAAAGGCAACTTCAGGAATTGATTCATTTGGGCATGGAGTAGTAGTTACTTGTGTTTAAACTTTTAAGTGGAGGTAAGATTGAAAGTGGTAGCCAATCTGTAAAGCTGGTGTATCAAAGTTCTTATGAGTTTTAAATCCTAGAATATCTGTCCAGTGTTCAACTTTGTCTGTGATTTCAGCTGAAGCAAACAGTGTTTACCCCTTGTTGACACCAAAATTTGATAAGCTTACCCTGAAAAAGAAGAGATCGGCCGATGATGTTAAAAACAAGAAGATTTCCTAAATAAGGGATATTTCATAGCCAAGATAGTTGATCCGTTATGGAACTCAGCTTTGGCGCACGCATAGGTCAATTCGGAAATCATATGTGATTGCCAATGCTCAAGAAGGAAATAAAATATTATATTTGGAGGTTGTCACGTATGCACAAGGCATAGTTCAGATAGTAGTTAATGAATATTTGCATGCATGCAAGGCGCAACGTCCATAATCAAGTTGATTTGGCTTACTAGGGAGGCAAATATGGAAAGGTAGCTAACGAGAGAAAGCCTGATCACGGAGAGCATGAGATCTTGGCATGTACTACGTGTTCTATTGGGACGGCAACAACTTTGGAAGCAAAGAGAAGAAGAATAATTTAGTTAAGTCCAATTGCCATACGAGCTGAAAGCCAAATCGATTTCTATTTACCAATGAAGTCTACGGGAGTCATCTGACAGGTGCACGAGATGGTAATTAATTAAAGAAAGAAGCACATGTCAGGAATTATTGGAGATTGATAATATTGTGGCCTGGCCGTATGTTTGCATAGCCACGTTTGCAGAACGTGCATGGGAGACCTGGACCCGGCTCAGTCAATGGAGATATATTCTTCTTGTAAAATTAGATTATATTTTCATCTTTATTTTAGAGTCATGCTTGTACACGGCAAAGGCCAACCGACTTGTGTATGTGTATATATACGAGTTTATGGCCTATTGTAAAAAGACATCCAATCAATCAATACAATTTATTTTTTTCGGCTTCACGCCAACCCTTAGGAGTAGGAGTAGCGTAGATCTCGGCGAGTTCTTCAACAAGCAGGGCTGCATCGGTCCAGCTGACCTCCGGTTTGTGTGTAAGTACCGTCATGACTTATACTTCTGTTTGTACGGCTGCATCGGTTAAGTTCGACCTCCACTGCGAACTCTAATATAAGCTAGTTATCGACTCTTATCTAGTTCAAGTACGGCTGCATCGGTTCGGTCGACCTTCACTGTTCGAATTAGATTAAGGTGAAGTTAACGGCTCTATCTAAGGGTGGCGTCCTCGGGTAGATTCATTAAGTTACCGATCTTGCTGCTGTTCTCATTGCCATTAGTTTCAGCAATATCAACCTGCTCGGTCGAGATCGATCTAGATCGGCCTCACATCCTTTTTAGTCCATCGTTTATTTTTGCTATATTGCGATAATCTTTACTTCAAATGGTGAATCATGTTTTATCGGTTATTCTACTTCGATTTTGATTGTGCATAGTACGCATTCAAAGACATGTTTCGATCTTGGATAGATTCACTAGTTAATGAGATCTAATCTAATGACACCACTATAGCTGCATCGATCCGGTCGAACCGCACTAGTAAGACTTTAGATTAGAAGTTACAAGTAGTGGTTTTGTTCGTGATCAAGACATGTACTCTGTTTGTTTGCTATGCCTGCATCGGCTAAATAGTCGATCGCTTGTGCATTAACGCCTATAGCGTGTCTCTATGATTCTGTTAAATGTGGATAGATCCGTTTGCTTTAAGGGCTTGATTTGTTTTCTTTATCACGGCTGCCATCGATCCGATCGAACCCTACTGTTGGAGATAACAGGTTAGGTCTGATGAGTCCATAGGTCTGTCCATGTTAAATAGTCGATTGTTCACATGCTGTAGTCTCTTTTCTACCTGAATCGGCTATTTCAGCCGATCTGCTTGAGCTTTCACACATATAGCATGTCTTTCGAAAAGCCTGTCAACGTATAGATGGTTTTACGGATTCTGCGGTTTTAGTTTGTTATTATCATCATAGCTGCCATCGATCCCGTCGAACCTCACTGTTGATGGTAACAGAGCATTTGTAGATCCATTTGTACCAGACAGTCGATTTTTTGTTTGCATGTTATATCCTTTCTCGATTAGATTTATCGGCTCGATGCTTTACACCGGTAATTTCCACCTAGCTGATGATTTACTCATATCTGCGCGTATTGTACCTGTCATCATAAAATCAATCGCGACCCGCAAGCTTCACAGTTCGTAACAACCGATTTCTTCGCGTATCGGCTATTTAGTCGATTTTCCCGTCTGGCTGCTCCCGAAGCGGCATACTTGGAACTGTCTGGTAAAAACCGGTATGTTCCACCTTAAATTACTGATAAACTTTCTCTCCTTGTCAATTGCAGGTCAAATTGACTGGCACGCCCTCGGGAGGAATACGCAGGATCGGCTAGCCTTGCGTTGAAGCCAAGCGGATCTCCGGCCTTGCTCCATCAAGCATATTCTTCCGGCTTGCTGAGTGCCCGGCGCATCGACACGTTTTTGCGCCAACACCCCTGAACTCCCTGAACTTCAAATTTGTAACAAAATATGGAGAACACCAGTGTCACTCTATGGTTATCAATGTTAGGAAACCTGAGCTTAGCGTCAGTTATATGTTATTCATATTGTACATGGACTATGTGAGCAAAATCAACCGTCTGTGAAAACGTGGTTAGCCTGAAGAAACCAGTAGTACAGTGTTTTATAACTGTTGCTGTACTTTAAACCTGTCATGAAAAGTGCTGCTATGTTTCTCCTGATGTTAATTTAGGCCTGGTTTATATTGCAAGTTTTTTCACTCTCTCTCCATCACATCAAATCTTTGGACACATGCATGGAGTATTAAATATAGATAAAAAATTAATTAATTACACAGTTTGATTGTAAATTACGAGATGAATCTTTTGAGACTAGTTAGGCCATGATTGGATAATAATTGTCAAATACAAACGAAAGTGCTACAATGCCAAATAATAATTCCTAACCCCAATCTAAACAAGGCCTTGCAGCCGGGTTGTTTCTTTGTGAACATGTACAAAGGTCAGCGCCATTAGCTTTGCTGTTGGTATTGTGGTGGGGTTCACCCTCAAGAAAAGGCTACGCAGATGGGCTTCTAGACTGCTGAAGAGAATTAAGGACGATGACTAGTGCGATCTTTTCCTCATTGTCTTTGGAATTTGTTCAGAACTATGGCTACTATGTACCTCTGCATCTTGTGTAGCCAACTCCTTTTGTGCTTCCACAGATTTGCTATGAATGCTGGTTTATGAATCATCAGTTCATCACATTACAACACCGTTAAATGTGCAAATGGTGATATAACGTCGCTAATTGTGTATGAACGCGCCATGCTCTTTGGTGTCCTTTGTCTTCAAACTTTGTCCATCGCTATCATTTTGTATGTGGCACGCGCACTTATATTAACGGAGAAAGTATTAGCAAGCAGAAATATATAACTGTTTTTGTGTATATGGATGGATTATGCAGGATCTCGAAGGCTCGTTAAGCCAACAAGACAGTCGGTTCGTACAGACAGTTGTTCAAAGAACGGACAATCTTTCCCTAATATTAATCTGGTCATGGCATATTTTGACGAGCCACTATTATCTTTCTAGATAGGGAACACTTCTAGGGCAACAAGGTTCTTTCATATGTCTCTCTCCAGCAACGGGGTTCTTTCATACGCCTCTCTCCAGCTAAAACGAGAATAAAGACACGCAGATGTTTCTGCGACTAGACCAAAGAACAATAGAGACTTTTAAAGATGAACTACTTCACAAAAACAGACGTGTTTACGTAAGACTTTCCTTTTCGGAAGACTGTGAACACACGAACTACAACTACAACGGACTTACCTCACTGTAGAGGGCACTGCTCCTGCTCGGGATTACAGAGACTACAAGTTGGAACGGAGAACTAGAACTATAGCACCTGCTCTCATACGGGAAACTAGGACTACATCACCAGCTCTCATACTTGCGTTGTGCTCCTGGACTCTTACTTCCTGTTGCTGCTCCTTCGTTGATGTGCCTTTTGTACTAGCTTTGAGGGCTTTATTGTTGTACACCTGAAGAACAGTTGTCGTGCTCAATAGCACCACCGTTTGGCGGGGGTTGCATGCACTCCAACCTATAGGCGTCATCAGTTACAGTGCTCCGTGCACCATGTTACTCATACTTAGTATTCCTCTCAAGAGCAATTACAATAGTTGGCTTAGAGCCAAACAAATGTTGACATAGAGGAGAGAATACAGGAGAGGTTGGCTCTCATGCAAGCAACAAGTTAGGCACGGGAGCTTATGCAGAAGTGGGCCCAAGTAGCAAGTGTTGTGAAGAGGAATAGTAGAGAGAAACTTTTTGAAGACAAATAAGAAACTACAGTATAACTGGACTCTTATAACTTGACTTATAGCCAAGCACTTGGCTCTATTATTGATCTTGCTCTAATCGTGTGGGATTTGATGATGACTAGACTTTGAGGTTCTCCCGTGCTTTCCTCGTATGTTGTGTTCGAGGAATGTCTTTCCTCATGGCTTGTAACGAGGTCCTTGTATATTGTATTCATCTTTCCTCCATTAGTAGGAATATCCACTTCTACGACGATTAGATTTCATCACTGAAGGAGCCAAATTCGTCATAAATTCAGTT